CAGAAAGGGATGAAGGGAAATTGTGGTTTGCAATATGGGCAGCCAGTCATCACGGCTTGGCCACCCCCAGGCTGGGTCTGTGTTCCAGGCTTCCAGCAGCCAAGGCCTCATCCAAGGTCCCGGGGCCGAGGCTGCCCCAGGACCCCCTGCTGAGCCTCGGCTCCCTGCCGTTTTCCCCAGGACCCTTGTCCTTGTTCTCGGCCAGAGTTAAGTCTGTTCTCGGCCAGGCAGATGTCAGTCGAATGGCAGAGAGAACCGGTAGCACCTCCCTGCTCCCACCCTGTGGGCTCCAGGGCTGGAGGGGGCCCCAGCATAGGCCAGAGCACAGTGTGTGCCTAACTCCGCCTGACGGGAGGCATGGGATTGATGAGGGGTAAGGACGGGCCTCAGTTGGCCTCTGGAGGGGTTCAGGGTGGATGATGAGGGGAGCACCCGCTGTACAGCTGAAAGGAGGTGCCACCCCCAACATCAGGAGTGGGGCCTCAGAACCAACAGACACACACACACACACACACACACACACACAGATGCAGACAGAAACACGGAAAGACAGATGGACCCAGAGACATGGAGAGACTTGGAGGTACCACACACGCCTGCCCTCTCAGCCCTTCCCTGTCCTTGGACAAGGCCCGCCCGTGCCACACACCCCCCAACCTCTCCACCTCTCCCCAAGGGTGTCAGGTGGACTTGTGGGGCCACACCCCAAAGGGGAATCCCAGGCCTCCACCCTGGGGTTTATTTTGGGGGATGTAGGGGTGGAGACCAGCTATGGAAAGGTTCCTTCAGTACTGGGCTGTTAGAGCCTAGGGCACCTCTTGAACCCAAATTTGGCTGCCCCAGGCGTCCATCTGGCGCCACCATGGCCATGAACCTGGGTTCCAGGGACGGGTCACAGCGTGTGCCCCAGGGCCAGCCTAGGGGACAGCTGCAGGGCCTGTAATGAGGGGTGATGAGAGCTTCCCCTTGGGACATTGGGGGCTGCCTGCTACCTGAGTGCACTTTGGGTGGGAGGAGCCCTGAGCAGGGGATGCAGAAGCTGACAGTTCACAGTTCAATGAAAAAGAATGTGATGTCAGGGAAACACGAGCGGGGGAGGGGTATGGGGAGGGGCCGGTGGGTGCACTCTGGACAGGAAGGAACTCTTAGAGGAGGTCACCTTTGAGATGAAGCCTGAAGGAGATGGAGGCATGGAGGGATTGAGTGAGAGTGCACCAGGCAGGGGCACAGCCAGTGCAAAGGCCCTGGGGCTGGAATGGCCCAGAGGGTGCAGGCATTATTGGAGAGGGAGGTGATGAGGGTGCTGGGGAGGCCAGGAGCCGCTCTTCAACCTGCCTTGCATTTGGGAAGGTGCCTGGAGGAAACAGGGCCCAGAGAGGGAAGCCGCCTGCCCAACCCTGAAGCCCAGCCAGGCCTCCCTGCCCCCTCTGGCGGCTTGAGAAACCTGAGGCTGGTGGGGCACAGTGCCAGGGGTGGGCAGGGGAGGGGCTGCCAGGCCTGCCGGCTCCAGGCAGCTGCCAGCCCGCCCCAGCCACCGGCCCAGCTGGTGCCCATTTGCTGACGCTGCCATGGGCCAGCCTCCTGCTCCCGCCTTGTGCGGTGCCAACCTCCCTGAATGGCGTTGTGGGCAGGGGCCAGCTTGGGAAGCTCTCAGTGGAGAGGGACTGCCCAGGGTGTCCCAAGGAGGAGACAGGAAAAACTGGGGGGATCCCCAACTCCTCCTGGATGGAACCAGGAAGCAGTAATAACAACAAAGTTAATAGGAACTGTGAGCACATATTGAGTGCCACTGTGTGCCCAGTTCTGGGCCCATTCCGCTCTCTACTGGTTTAATTCTCTCCCATTCCTGGGAGCGAGGGAACTTCTCCCCTTTCCCATGAGGAAACAGAGATCCAGAGATGGTCAGACACTTGCCAAAGTCACACAGCTTGTAAGAGGCAGAGCAGAATTAGAACCCATGGATTCTGAGTCCTCAAAACCCCTAAAAGAAAAAAAGTGAAAAACACTTTTGAGATTATCAGGTGGGACCCACACCCTCCCAGTGGTACAGATGATAATAAGGGCAGGCCCTGAGTACATAGTGAATAAAGGAGCCATATTATTAAGTACCTGCTGCCCTGGCCATTTTGGCCCAGTGGATAGAGTGTCAGCCTGCAGGCTGAAGGGTCCCCGGTTTGATTCCGGTCAAGGGCACGTACCTTGGTTACAGGCCTTGATTGCCTGCTTGATCCCGGGTCCTGGTGTGGGCATGTGCGGAAGGCAACCGATTGATGTGTCTCTCTCTCTTTCTCTCTCTCTCTCTCTCTCTCTCTCTCTCTCTCTCTCTCATATTGATGCTTCTCTCTCTCTCTCTCTCTCTCTCTCTCTCTCTCTCTCTCTCTCTCTCTCTCCCTTCCACTCTCTCTAAAAATCAATGGGAAAATATCCTTGGGTGAGCTCACAATTAACAACAAAAGTACCTGCTGTGCCCAAACCTGGGTGCCAAGGTCTCCATAAAGGGCATTGCGGGCTGGAGTGAGGGGACCTCGCTCAGCCACAGCTCTGCCCCTGGCTTATGTGTGACTTAAGACAAAGCCCTGTCTCTCTGGTCTAGATGGAAGGGAGCTGAGGGCTGGAGGGAAGGGCCTGTGGGCCACAGAGCAAAGCAAGCCAGCCCTTGATTGAGGTTCCCCTGTCTTCTGGTCCCTGTTATTTAAAAAAAAATTTTAATTTTAGAGAGGCAGGGAGAGGGAAATAGAAACATCATTGATGAGAGAGAATCATTGATTGGCTGCCTCCTGCATGCCCCCCACTGGGGATGGAGCCCACAACCCGGGCATGTGCCCTTGACCAGGAGTTGAATCATGACCTCCTAGTTCATAGGTGGACGCTCAACCACTGAGCACACCGGCTGGGCTCTGGTCCCTGATCATCTTCATCGCAGCACTGGGTGTCTGCTGGGGAGACAAAGGGTGGACGGAGGGTGCCTGAGGGTGCCTGTTTCTTTTATAATGGATACAATTCGTGCTGTGCTTGCCCCAGGCTGTGTGAGGCGTATCCCCTTTCTGAGCTTCAGTTTTTCCATCTGTAAAGTGGGGTAAATACAAACTGTGTCCACTGAATTGAGGAATTGGAGTAAGCGATTCCCGAAAAGCACACAAGAGGCCCTGAATGAGTGCTCAGTCCCTTCCTGGACCCTCTGCCCAGCCACAGGAGGCAGTGGGAAGACCTCAGCTCTACTCAGAGAGCCTGAGCCATTCTGCCCACAGGGAACGCACTGGGGCACACATGTCCCAGGACGGGCACCTGGTCGCCCCTCCAAGCCTCTGGGTGGCAAAGGGCTGAGGGGTGCCTGGCAGCCTGGATTTTCCCAGGCCCAGGCACCCAGGTGTGCCAGCCGCCTGTCTGCACGGGGAAGGTGGCTGCATGAGTGTGAAGGCCCAGACACCAGCTGATGGTATATTTATAGCAACGGTGGGAGGCCGCTGGGCTCATGGTTATGGTGGCCAGGAGGGACTGACAGGTGAGGATGCTGCTAACACAGCAGGCCCAAAGCCCGCATTGGAGCTGCACAGTGTTGGGAAGTTAGGGGCATATGAGTGGACTTAATGCCACTGAACTGTGCACTGAAAATTGTGAAAGGGGCAAGTTTTTTATTATCACTACTGTCCCACAGATTTTAAAGTTATTTGTTGTTAATAAAAATGATTAATAAATAGTGATGCTTTCTATATGTATAATGATAAATAATTCATAAATGTAATATCAGTGTTGGTAATACAATAATAGTTACTATGATCACAACCATTGCCATCATCCTACTGTGGTTCTAGGCCCAGCTCTGCCCTCTTGCCCACTGGGCAGCCGTGGGCACGTTAGTGCCCATCTCTGAGCTCCTACTTTGTAGAGTCAGTACAGGCAGTATTCAGTGAAGGGGACCCAGGTAGCATCTGAGACAGTGGTTCTCAACTTTCCTAAGGCCGCAACCCTTTCATACAGTTCCTCATGTTGTGGTGACCCCCAACCATAAAATTATTTTCGTTGCTCCTTCATAACTGTAATGTTGCTACTGTTATGAATCGTAATGTAAATATCTGACATGGAGGATGTATTTTCACTGTTACAAATTGAACATAATTAAAGCATAGTGATTAATCACAAAAACAATATGTAATTATATATGTGTTTTCTGATGGCCTTAAGTGACCCGTGAAAGAGTCGTTTGACCCCCAAAGGGGTCACGACCCACAGGTTGAGAGCCGCTGATCTAAGAACAAGAAGCCTCTTAGCACACAGTGAGTGCTTAGCCATGGAGCTCTTGGCGAGTAGGTCCTCGCCCTGCGGGCACCCTGCACACGCCAGGACAAGGCTGCCGGGGCAGTGCATGAGGGTGCCTTGTCCACACAGGCAGGGCCCAGCCCCCGGAGGAGCCAGCAGAAGCGGAAGGCATCACATTGCACCTGTGGCGGCCTTCCTGGCATGACAGCACTGCAGTTGGTACCCTGGCCCTGTGCCCAGGGAGCTAGGGGTGGTGAGGGCAACTAGGGACATCTCCCAGCCGCCCCTCCCCAGCCAGCTGTCAGGCCAGCCCCTCTCCCTCAGCTGGGTGTGGGCAGGAAGTCACAGATGGTCCGAATTGGTGAAGGATAAAGGAGGGGGCACTTGGGGACACATGGATGTCTTGTCCACATGGGGAAACTGAGGCCCAAAGGGGGGGGGCACTGCTCAGGTTACCCAGTAAGGGCCCATCTTCTGGTCCATTCGGACCCATCTTCAGTTCCAGGCCAACTTGTGAGGTGCCAGGGCAGGGAAAGGGGGGACCCTCATATCTCAGAGTAAATGACTTGCAAGTCAGGAAGGGGGTTCAGGACTGGGACTTGGGAGACCATAGGATGCCAGACCTGAGACGGCTTCTGGATCCTCCAGGGGGCAGATTCTGGAATTTCCAGAGCTGGGGTCTTCACCCTCCGGGTGATTCTAGATGAGTTTCAGAACAGCACAGCCCAGTAGAAATACATAAATTATGGACCACATAATTAAACATTTTCTTGGTATCTAATACTTACAGGTGTCAACCTACAGGGGAAATTAATTTTCACAATTTCTTCTATTTAACCCAGGACATCCAAAATCATGTCGTTTTGACACATAATCGATGTGAAGCAGTTACTGAGATGTTTTACATTCTTTTTTTGTCCCGAGCCTGTGAAATTCGACATGTGTTCCACGCTCACATTTCCATTCCAGCTGGCACATTTCAGGCATTCAGTCTGACGTATGGCGTGTTGGGCAGCTCAGCTCTAGAACATCTGAATTCTAGAGTATTCCCAGGCAGATCTCAGAGCTCCCACGTTATGAGAATGCAAGGAGGGGGTTCTAGAAGGTCTCACCTGGGGCTTTCCCTCGTCACACTGCGGACCCCGTGGGGGGCTGTCCTGGGCACTGTGGGGGTGGGGGGTAAGCAGCATTCCTAGCTTGATGTCAGGAGCATCCTCCGACACTAACCACCAAAAATATCTCCAGACGTCACCCCGGGTCCTTGGGGAGCAGCATCACCCCAGTGAGAACCACTGTGCTATGGGGGGGGGGGGGGAGCCTTGGAGTTCTTCGAAGTTAGGTTATTTTTCCACCCAAGAAACGGTGCCAGAATCCCGAAAGCTGGTTCCTTGATCTAGAATTCCTCAAGTGTATTCTTGGCCATCCAGGAGCAGGGTCCAGAATTTCCTCAGTTGGATTTCTGGGTGTCCAGAAGCAAAGTCCAGAATTTTTGCTTACCCACGGCCGAGCTTCAGAGTTTTGTGAGTTGGGTTCTAGACCCTCCTGGGGTGGGTTCTAGCATTCTTCATGGAGAATCTTCACAGCAGCTGGGAACAGCTCTCACATCTCCCAAGCAGGGTTCTCGAGACTATGGGGACAGATTCTAAAGCTCCCAGATCCGTCACCAGTGGTCTCATCCAGTATTGGTCTTACTAATATCCACGAAATCCTCCAGTGTGTTCTGGACCATTGATGGCCGGTTGCAGAATTCCTTACGCTGAGTTTTTGTGCGCCCAAGGTCGGACTCTGGGATTGTCTTGAGCTGGTTTCTAGAACATCCAGGGGGGCAAGTTCTAGAATTCTCAGAGTCGGGGATCCAGAAAGTTCAGGTCAGAGTTGAATAAGCCTGTCCTCAGACATTGGTGACTGAGCAGAATATTCCAGAAAAGATGCCTTCAGAGGGGGAAGGAGGTGGGTTTTAGTGTCTCTGGCTGAGGCGGTCTTGGGGCAGCCAGTTGGATGGGAGCGCCCGTGTGGTTCGCGGTGTTTGGGAGCAGATGGTGGGGCTATGTGGCTGTGAGAACCTGGAACAAGAGTGGAGACTTTATTTAATCCCTGGTAAATGTCTGTTGTTCACTGGATGTGGGACGTGGACCCTGGCTGTGTTTCCAGAGTTTGTTGTGGGGCCGTGTGCGCTTAGTAGGTCCTCAGTTGAAGGCAGTAACTCTAATAGATGGTGACATCTGGCAGGAGGCAGGGGTTGTCTGCCTGTGTGTTTTGGGTGCTGGGGGCGCTTACAGGCATATTGAGGGCTTACCTAGTTAAACCCTCAGTAAATGTCAGGAATATGTGCACCACTTTATTTCACCTTAATTCCACTGCGGTGGGGATCAGCATTAAGTGCATTTAACAGATGGGGAAATTGAGGCCCAGAGAGGCAAAGCCACTGGCCCAAGATTGCACAGCTAAAAGGCAGTCAATATTCGAACCCAGGTCCGGCATCTCTGACGGCCCACAATATTCCCCCAGGAAGGGGCTGCTTGGGGTGCCTCCCCTGATGTCCCCGGAGTCCCCGTTTGGGCCTAGACCTCAGCTGGACAAGGAATACCTTTGGGGACTGGAGCCTAACTAGGGGGTGGGCGAGCCTCAGACCCTCAACCTGGGGGAACCAGAGAGGCAGAGGTGCAGCCTGGGCAGCTGTTCCCGTCTGTCTCTCTGTCTCTCTGTCTCTGGGTCTCTCTGTCTCTTTGTTTCTCTCTGAGTCTCTGTCTCTCCCTGCCTTTGTCGGTCTCCTCCCTGCCTCCCACCCCAGGCCAGCCTGTGGGCTGCCCGGAGGCAGCAGCAGCAGCTGAATGGGCCCCTTGTTCCTGACCACACCCGCCCCTTGGGGTCACCCCAGGACAAGCCCTGGCAGCCTGCTGCCTTAAAGGGCCAGCATCCAGAGAGAAGGGGGAGGAGAGGGACCGCCTCCACTCCCCAGCCCCACACCTCCCAAAGAGGGAAGCATTAATGTGCATGGTGGGGAGGAAGGGCACCCTACCCAGGTACCCTCAGCCTCCGCGGTCAGAGGGGTGGCAGGGGAAGCCTGCTAGGGAGAAGACGGCGCGCGCATGGCAGGGCTTGGGCTTGACCTCGGGCATCCCTTCTCCCCTCTGTGCCTGGGTTTCCTCATCTGCGTCTGGGGCTCCTTGTGCCCACCCTCAGGGTTTGGGGGGCAGATAGAATAGTATCTGGGCCAGGACTTGGTACCCAGCCGGCATTCTCCCCGCACCCACTGTGCAATGATACAGCACCTGCTGCCTGGGCATCCTGTGAGCAGCATCGCCTGCCCCGTGGACAGGGCGTTCACTTCGCCTTCCCCCGTGCCTCAGTTTCCACAGGTGTAGAATGAGTTCAACCAGCAAGGATGAAGCCAGCTGGCAGAATTAAAACGGTGTTCGAGCAGGGCCCACACCCAGGTTAAGGTTCCACTACTGAGGGCCTGTTGCACACAGGCCTTGCTGAGAAAGGTCCTGTTGGCAGCCCTGTTTTAGAGAGAGTAAGGCTCAGGCTGAGGCTACACGGCCGATTTCACCCCAACTCTGCCACCTCCACCCTCCACTCTGGGCTGTGCAGCTCCATGCTGCTTACTTGCCTTCTCTGGGCCTCAGTTTCACCGTCAGAGCAATGGGACTAGCCCTGTCCACTTGCACACACTAGAAGCCTTTCACCTTCTCCCGCCCAGAGGGTGCTGTGTCTGGGGGTCAGGGCATCCCCCGGGCCGAGCTGCACCTAGTGGCCACTCTGGGTGGCCACGGCTCTCCTGCGCATTAGGCCAGCCCCACAGACAGTCCGGGACAGGTTGCTGGGACAGGTTGCTGCCGGATGGACAAGCCTGTTCCCTGCTTTCTTATGTAATCAGGTTATGCAAGGGCAGCTGGCCTGCTTACATAAAGGGAGGCGGGCCAGGGCCCAGCTGGGGAAGGGGAGGCTCTTAAAGGGACCCGAGTCCCCCGAGTCTCCCTTTTAGGGCCCTGCATAAACGCTGGCCAATTCTGTGCTCATCGATGCCATCATTGTCATCATTATTATTATTGTCATTGATGTTGTTTATTGTCACAGTATTTTTGCCCACGGGCAGTGCATCGGTGGAGTCGGGCACAAAGTCCTGGCTTGGTCCACTCCTGCTCTGATGCTCAGTAAATCCCTCCTCTCCCTGAGTATGTTTCCCCATCTGGGCGATGGGAGATGCCAGTGAAGAAAGGCAGTGGGGCAGAGTGGGGGGTCTTGCCCCTGCCAACTGCTCACCAGGTGACCTCAGGCAAGTGGCATCCCTCTCTGGGCCTCAGTTTCCCCATCTGTAAATACTCCTTCCTCCTGGGGCTGCTGAAGGAGACACGGTGAAACCACGCGGAGGGGTTAGGACAGCATTGCGCACACATGCTCAGTGCTCAGCCAATTGCACTGCTTTGTTGTCAGTAAATATTGATTAAGCACTTACTGTGCCAAGCACTTTTCTAGGTCCTGGGGACACCGCCGTGAACTCCACAGACAAAAACCCAGCCCTCCTGGGGCGCACAGTCTGTTGTGGGAAACGGACAGAGAGTAAGAAATAAAGAATAAGGAACTAATACCAGTTCCTAAGGGCTACAGAGAAATATAAAGGAAGGCAAGGGGACAGAGTGGGGGCCTATTTGGGGGAGGTCTGTCTGCGGATTTGACATTTGAGCTGAGAGTTGAGGGGTGAGGAGGAAGCAGTTGTGTGAAGAACTAGGGAAAGGACATTCCAGGCAGAGGGCACAGCCCATGCAAAGGCCCTGGGGCAGAATCCATCTTGACATATCGGAGGAACAGCGAGGAAGCCCCTGTGGCTGGAGCAGAGTGAGCAAGGGGGACAGAGGAAGTTATGTGAGGGTAGAGAGGTGAAGGGGCCAGGGAGGACTGGGGCTCTTACCTGGGGGGAAGTGGGCGCCTGGAAGGCCTTGGGCAGACGAGGGACTGACCTAACTCAGGGGCTCACAGGCGCCCTCTAGCCACAGCAGAAAGGGTGGACTCTAGGGGGCGAGGATGGCAGTTCAGAGACAAGCTGAGGCCCTGCCCTGATTCAGGCCAGTGATGACGGGGGCCTGCCAGGCAGAGGCAGATTTCAGAGGTCTGAGAATCCGTTGCGATTGTCAGCCTGGCCCTAGTGGGAACATGCAAGTTAGTCACTCGATTCACGCAACTCCTTCTGAGGCTGGCACTGCCCTCCTGCCTCTGGCCCCCGCCTCCGTCTGTAGCAGCACCTGCCTGGGAATATGCAAGAAAGGAAGGAGCAAAGCAAGGACATGGCACCCCAGACACACCCAGGGACACTCCTGGAATCAGAACGCTGTTAGCGGGCAAGTCGGGATGTGGTGCCCAGGCCGCCTGCGGGACTCTGGGCAGGCCGGATGGGCAACTGCCAGCTGCCCAGCCCTGAGCTGGGTGTCTCACCTGCACAGGCACTGTTTTCCCATTTTTATTCCCAGTCTTGCCAGGTGGACTTGGGCCAGCTGCTGCCCCACCCTGTGCCTGTGTCCCCCTCTGTGGAGTAGGAGTGATAGTCTGTCATTGTTCATCCAGCAAACAGTAGGTGCCAATTCAGTGATTAGCAGCAATAAGGCAGGAGGCTGGTGGGGAGGTAGCTCCCTGGCATGGGAGCAGACAATACTCACTGGGTGACTGACTTCCCCTCTCTGAGCCCGTTTTGTTCCTGTAAAATGGGGACCACACCCACAGAACCCCTATGGTACCGAACCAAATTCCTGCTCAGAAAGGTGTCCAGGCTGACGTTTTGCAGTCTCAGTCCCATGGGACAGCTGGGCAAACTAAGACCCAGAGAGAGCCAGAGACTGGCCTGGAGTCACACAGCCAATCCGGGACAAAGAAAGGCACGAGCAGTCTTGCCACATGGTTCTTACACCCAAGAAACAAGATGTTCATTGTGCCTCAGTTTCCAAATCCATGAAATGGGCACATGGCTGGGTCGGTAGGAATCTCTGGACATCCAGGAAGAAGCTGCAAGGGTTTATCTGGCCAGCCTGCAGACCATCCTCCTGGGGTACTGGGGAGACATTTGAGGGAGGGAACCCCCCAGTTTTCCTTTGGCATTGGCAGAAGAGGAGAAAGCAGATTCCTGGGGGCTTCCAGGTTAATGGGGCTCCTTCTGTATCCAAGCCCTTCGGCACAGGAACGGACTGCATCCCCCGTCTGGCTCTGGGGAAGCAGGCCTGGCCTCACCTGCCCAGTAGAAGGGCTGGAGCTGGCCCCACCTCAGACCTTTGTGCACCTCTCAGTCTGTCAGACCCAGACACGTTAGCGAGGCAGCTGTCTCTGTACGCACTCAGACCAATTGCTTAACTTCCACAGGGCTTCATCTGCCCCGCTGTGGCTCTGTATGTAGGTCTCGGGATTATGTGTAGGTCTGGCATATAAGTGCTCAAGAAATGAAAGTGATTGTTACTGTTATTTTCATACACTGCTCTCCCCACAAGCCCATTCTGTGCCTGGCAAACTCCTACTTATACGTCAGTGCCCCAACTCGAATGTCCCCTCCTTCAGGAAGTCTTCCTCCTCCTCCAGGCCAGGTTCCCATCCCTTCCTCGGGCTCCTCCCGCCACATCTCCTTCTCTTTGATATCCAGGGCCTGGAGCAGTTGGCTCGGCTTCTCAATAGAGGGTTTCTGCTGATTCTCAAAGGACCACGGGGACGGAGATGGGCAGTGCCTGGGCCTGTTGTCAGAAATCCCTTATGTCACCATTGCTTGGAGTCCACATCTCCCTAAACCTGGTCTTTCCCTCTGAATATCCCGATTTTTCCATCCTTCCTCAGGTTCCTTTGTCCCACACGCATTCATTCTGCACATACGGCATGCCAGGCCGTATCAGAATGATCCAGGTTATCCTCCCAGTGAGCATGTGCTGGGTGCCCACTGTGTGCCCGGTTCTGCTGATGACCACACTGGTCTTCCCGCCGCTGCTGCCCGCCATGCGCAGGCATTCGTTACCGAGCGCTGACTGTGCCCTGCTCCCGGAGCGGGGTGGGGGCGCCGGGCCCTCTAGTGCCAGCCTCCCCCTGCGAGGCGGCCGGTTGACCCCATGGGCACTGGGACCCCAGCAGCGGGGCTCCAACCCCACATCTTCCCGGACCCTGCGTCTCCCCCCGTCAAGCGTCCAGCTACCTCAGGTGTGTGCTTTCTGCAGAGAGAGAAACCGAGGCACGGAGCGGGCCGCCGTGCACCGCTCCCCCTGCCCCTCAAGCGAAGCGGGGCTGGGACCTCCCTACGGCCCCCCTGCGATGCCAGGCCCAGAGGCAGGTTTTGCCCGAACCACGCCGCCCCGCTGCCCGGAGCCCTGCCCGCACCCGCCCCCCACCCCACCCCCGTGGCCGTGACCATGACCGGCTGCGGCCTCCTGGGGCCGCTGGCCAGTGACCTGCCCCCGGAACCTCAGGAGGGGGAGCCGGAGCTGGGCAGAGGCCGGAGGTTCCGCTTCCGCCGCCGTGGCCACTGCGGCCACCGCGGCTTCCGGTCCCCCCGCCCCCCCGCCCGTCTCCCCCCCCATGGCCGCACATGTGAGCGGAGCCCGTGGCACACGCGGCCCCAGGCCCGGCCGCCGCTCCTGGCGCTGAGCCGGGCCCGCCGGGCGGCGGGGAGGCCGCGGCTGCGCCAAGAATCCGCTCCCAATGTAAACAGCAGTTATTTTGGGCGGCCCCTCCCGGTGCTGACACATTGGGCACGGAGGGGGGCCGCGTGGGTATTTTTAACCTTGTTTTCCGCATCCTCCGTGCCACCCCGAGGGTCTGGTTCGCGCCGGGTGGCAGCGACGGGCTCCGGGCCGCGGCGGGCACGGCCGGCGGGCACACACGCGCGTGTCCCCCCGGGGAGGCGGCGGGGGGGCGGGCCGGGGCCGCCGGGAGCCCCCTCGCCCCGCCCGGGCCCCCCTGGCCGTGCCCGCGCCGCCGCCGCCGCCGCCGCACAAAATGGCCGCCGGCCCAGAGCCCGTGGAGCCGCCGGGAGGGAAAATGGCCGCCGCAGGGTGATGTCAGAGGCGCGGCTGCCAAGAGCGGGGCGGGCGAGCCGGGGCCTGCAGCCTCGCCGTGGGCCCTGTGTCCTCGGGGCCGAACACCCGACACACGCTGGCCAAGCCCGGCCGCGAGGGCAGCCCCGGCCCGGTGGGCAGCCCGGCCCCGGGGGTGTGCGCGGCCCCGGCCTGACCCCTGGCCCGAGGTGTCCGGAGCCGTGGGGACGGCCAGGCCACGAGCAGGCGGGGAGCCGCGGGCGGTGGGAAGAAAAAGAAACTTTTCTTTGAAAGTGACTCCCAGGCAGGTTGGCTCGGGCCCAGGGCCGGAGGCGGGAGAGGGAGATGGAAAGTGTGGTCCAGACTCGGAGCCGGCGGGTCCGGAAGGACGGGGAGCAGGCGGGCGTCCGGTCGGTGGGGCGGCCGGTGCCCTGCGCCCGGCAGCTGCTCCCCGCGGGCTTGTGCGCAGCCCCGGAGCCGGGAGGTCCTGCGAGGCGCACAGCTGCCGGGCCTCGCTGCTGCCGGCAGGATGCGCGTCTCCAGGAAGCCCCTTGCCTCCCGGGCGTTTCGGTGCTGGGCTTCCGGCCCACCGCCCAGGGCCTGCATGCGCGGTCGCCCTGGCCCCCCGGGTCGGGTCGGGGGAGACCCAGGCCTGTGAGCCTCGGGCAGGACTTGTGTCTGTCTGTGCTGGCTGTGCCCGGAGCCTCGCACAGGGCCTGCCACACACGGGCGCTCAGTGCACGTGATGAATGAAGGAACCACGGCTTCCCCTTGGGCCTGGGTCTGCACAGACACTAGGGTCGGATGGGGGTGGAGGCTCCGGGACCCCAGCGCTTGGTGACAGCTGGGCGTGTGCGGAACCTGCTCTCACCTTTCTGGGGAGGGACACGAGGTCAATTACCGAACGTCTCCAACTTGGAGCTCAGAGCCAGAGTCCGGCCCTATGGACACACAAACCACGTTTGAGCAGACGCCTGAATAAGTGAGGGAGAGAGCCGGACAAGCGTCTGCAGGAAAGGCCTGCCAGGGAGCGGAACAGCATGTGCAAAGGCCCTGGGGCAGGGCCGTGCCCAGTGTGCCGGAGGGACAGTGAGGAGCCGCAGAGGGAGCAAGCAGGGGAGAGGGAGCTGGTGAGGAGCAGGTCATACAGGGCCGTGTGGGCCCCGCGGAAGGGTTTGGACTTTCATGCAGTTATAGACCCAAACTCAGTCCAGTGTGATGGCAGGATACAGGGGAGGACAACGGTTTGGAAAAGGGGCCGAGGGAGGGTGTTCCGGAAAAGATGTTAAAATGGGCTGGGAACGGTGGCTAGAGTTTGCCTGAGCGGGAGAGGGGCAGGGAAGGTGCCGGAGGAGCCTGGCGGGAGGAGGAAGGCCAGGTCACGTGTACAGAGGCCTTCCAGGACAAAGCACGGTGAACCTTCCCCGGCGAAGGTTTAAAAATGGCTGGTGACACGGGGAGCTGGGAATTCCAGGGCCTGGCTTTGGCTCTCTCTCCAGCTGGCTGGCGCTGGGAGGCCGACGTGGCAGCCCAGCAAAGCCAGCTACCCTTGGAAGGCGGCGAAGGTTGGAAAATAAACCAGGTGAGCTCTCCATGGCAGCCGGTGCTGGTCCAGCAGACAAGCCGCTGGGCCCTAGTGGGAACGCTAGGATCCCCAGTATCCTGCCAGGTTTTAGATACGTGTAATTATCGTTTCAGCAAGTCCTGTACTTTCTACATCCCAAAGATTAAACCCGGAGCCAGCTTGTTATGCCGGCTGGGACGCTGCCCACACCTCCTCCGTGCCCTCCCAGCACCCAAGAATCCAGAATTCACTCAACAGCCAGAGACTCTGTGTGTGTGTGTGTGTGTGTGTGTGTGTGTGTGTGTGTGTGTATTTTGGTAAAATATATATAATAAAATTCACCAGCTTAACCACTTTTAAGTGTATAGTTCAGTGACATTGAGTACATTCACCTTGTTGTGCAACTGTCCCCACCATACATCCTCAGAACTTGCTCGTTTTCCTGAACTGAAATTCTGTCCCCATTAAACACTACCTCTCCACCCCCCTCTCCCAGCCCCTGGCTCCCACCGTCTGCTTCCCTATGGGTCTATGAATGTGACTCCCCTAGGGCCCTCCTGGGAGTGGAATCACACAGTATCTGTCCTGTGTCTGGCTTATGTCACTGAGCCCAGTGTCCTCCAGGCTCATCCACCTTGTAGCAGGTGTCAGAATGTCCTTCCTTTTCAAGGCTGAATACTATTCCACTGTCTGGATGGACCTCATTGTGTTTATCCACTCATCTGTCAATGGACACGGGTTGCTTCCAACTTCTGGCTGTTGTGAAAAATGCTGCTATGAATATAGGTGTGCAAATACCTGTTTGAGTCCCTGGTTTCAATTCTTTGGGGTTTGTACATAGGAATGGAATAGTTGGGTCATAGTGAAATTCTATGTCTAACTTGTGTTTTATTTTATTTTATGTATTTATTTGGTTTTGAGAGAGAGAGACCGATTTGTTGTTCCACTTATGCATGCATCATTGGTAGATTCTTGTATATGCCCTGACTGGGGATCGAACCCATAACCTTGACATATCGGGATGAGGCTCTAACCAACTGAGCTACCCGGCTAGGGCTCAAAGTTTAAGTTTTTGAGCAACTGCCAAGCTGTTTCCCACAGTGGTCGCACCATTTTACATGCCCATCAATAGTACATGAGGGTTCCACTTTCTCCACATCCTCATAGCCAGGCATTTAAAAATGTAACACAAGTCACGTCCTGTCACTCCTCATCGTGCTTGAGAATAACACCCAAGCTTCTCACTGCAGCCCACGTGGCCCTGATGGCCCAGCTCCTCTCCTCTTTGATCGCTTTTGCTCACCATGTTCTTCAAACATCCCATGTTTATTCCTGCCCCAGGACCTTTGCACTTGCAACACCATCTGCCCCAGCTCTGCCCACGGCTGGCTTCTGCCCATTCCTCAGTCCTCCGCACTAACGTCACCTCCTCAGAGAGGTTCTGCCTGACTTCTATTTTGAAAGCCACCCCCAGAGCCTCCCTCTGTCCCCTCACCCAGTTTCATTGCCTCTGTGGAACGTGGAAACGTCTGAAATTATCTCAGCCTCCTCCTGTTTGTTCTTTTCCTGTCTGTCTCTCCTCCCTTGGCTCTCTGCCATTTCCCCGATGCCTGGCAAGCAGTAGCTGGTCAGTAAACATCTGTGACATGCATGCCGGTGGCACCTTGATCTCCCAGCTACGAACTGGGAGTTTTAGCCGCGGGGATGAGAGCGGTCGGTCGGGGTCAGGTGCGCCGGGGGCGGGGGCGCCAGGGCAGGAGGGCGGCAGCAGAGGCCACGGCGGCGCCTCCGTCACGGGCTGGGACAGACCGGAGCTGGGCTCGTGGCCGCGGACAGGAAAGAACAGCCAGGACAGTCCGGCAGCGGGATCCAGGTTACGTTTCTCTTGTCGCCCTGAGCATGTGTTTGTTCGAGCAGAAGGCTGCAGGGGGCGGCGACATTCCAGCGGCACATGAGCACCCCCACGGGCTGGGCCCCAGCCAAGCGGGGATGTCGCTGGAAATACAGCTGCTGCCGAGGGCCGGGCTCTCGCTCACACGGCGCGTGCGCGTGGCGGTGCTCCGTGCCTGCTGCGAGAGCCTGCGTGTCTTTCTAAGGACATCTTTGAGGAAGGTTCCAGAATGAGGGGAGAGCAGGAGCCCGGCGGATACTGAGGGAACAGTGTCCCGCGCGGAGGGAACAGCCCGTGCTAAGGTCCTCGGGCAGGACCCCGTGCGGAGTGGGGGGGGGGGGGGCCTGTGTGACTGGAGCCGAGTGAACAAGGGGGGGGAGGGGCGGGGAGGGGCTGAGGGCAGATCACGCAGGGCCTTGTGGGCCACGGGGAGGACCCGGACTCCTCCTCCGAGGGAGGTGGGAGCCTGGGAGGCTGTGAGCGGAGGAGGGACAAAATCGCTTAACTTGTGAGTTTGGCGAAATGCTCTCCCCCAAACAGGTTTATCCCCTGGTCTGTGGTTGGCCCCTCTCCTCCTTGAGCTCTACAATCCTCACACGGTTCGAGTCAAACCCATAAGGTCAGGGGACAGAGAATGCCCACTTTACAGATGGGGAAAACCGAGGCCCAGGGGAGAGAGACCCGAGTAGTCCAAGTTCCCAGGCCCGGCGGTGCCAGAGCTGGGACTCGCACCCAGGATTTGGGGCACAGCTGTCGCTTCCAGAAGATGCCCCACCTTCAGAGGAGCCTGTGACCGGCCGCCTCTTCCTCACGACCCCAGTGCGTCTGACAGGCTCTGGGCGGCCCACACCGGCCCGAGAGCTCCGCAGCGATGCCTTTCGACCCGGGAGCCCCGCGCTCAGGGGATGTGATTCACATCTCGGGGACCCCACAGGCGTCCCCAGCTCAGCTGCCGACAGCACAGCTCCGGCTCACCAGCCTCCGCCGCCCTGCCTGGGCTCTCCCAGCCTGTCCGCCCGCGGTGTCCTCTGCCATCCGAGTGCACTGTGAGCCAGATCGAATGAGCGGACTGCCGAAACCGGGCGGGGCGGGGCGGCAAGGTCAGGAGAAAGGTCACGAACAAGCAATGCCAAGGTTCGATAAGATGTCCATTGTTATGTTTTTCCGGGAGGAGCAACCAGAACCAGGCTGCCGTGTCTGTTTTCCTTGCTGTGAGGGTGAGCGGGGCTGTCGGCCTCAGGCAAGGGCGGCTGCAGGGAGTCGGTGTATCCGGTGTTGCCGGCTCCCGTCTGGAATATGGGCGCGATCATCACGTCTCTTCTGGGGGCGTTTTGAAGTTTAAATGAGCCCGTGGAAGCGACACTTGGAGCCCCGCAGTCTAGAGCAGTGGTTCTCAACCTTCCTAAGGCCGCGACCCTTTCGTACAGCGCCTCATGTT